TGCGCTCGGGGTCCTCCAGCCTGGTCTCGCTCCCCAAGCTCCCCACCACCGCCGGGGGCGCCTCGCTGCTGGGGACCCTCTAGCAGAGGCGCCTGCAGAGCCGGGCGAGGGGCGCAGGAGCCCTGGGGGGCGGAGCGCGAGCTCCCCGCGGCGCCCCCCGGAAGCGGAGCGCGCGCCTTCACTGTCGCGCTCGGCCAGCCCCCCACGGGACTCTGTGACCCCACCGGTGTCCCCGTCGCACCCCCTGGCCCTCAAGGGCTTGCGGCGGGAAGATGGTACCAGCCCGACCCCGCCTGAGCTCTGCCGTCGCCACAAACCCCCGGCTCCCTCCTGGTTCAATCCACCCCCTCGCCGCCTCTCCCCGGGGCGCAGGAGTCAAGGAGGAGAGTTCAGGGCACGGTCAGATGCTGTCCTCACTTAAGATGTTGATATTTTTGTTCACCATGATTTTTTTTTTTTTTGCATTAATTTTGATTTTTCAAAAAGATTGCATTAAAATAGTACTTGTCTTACGGAAGAGATGAAATTATAAAACTCTTAAACCCGAGGGGTAAATCCTCGTGGCGCTGGATTGGACAGTGGTCTCCTAGATACCACACCAAAGGAGGCGCAACAAGAGGAAACACAGGAAAGCTGGATTTCATCAAAATTGAAAACGTTTCGCCCTGGCCAGTGTGCTCAGTGGTTAGAGCCCAGGCCCCAGCACCCCAAGGGTCTCGGCTTCGATTCCCAGTCAAGGGCAGGTATCTGAGCTGCAGGTTTCATCCTGGGTGGGGCAGGGCACCTGCCGGAGGCAACCAATCCATGTGTCTCTCACTTAGATGTCTCTCTCCCCCCCTCCCTCCCACTCTGTAGAAATCAATGGGTAAAATATCCTTGGGTGAAGATTAACAAGATAAAATAAAAAAACATTTCTGCATCAAGGGACATTATCAAGAAAATGAAAAGACAAACTATGGAACAGGAGAAAATAACTGCAAATCATATCTTGGATAAGAGTCTAGTACCCAGAATACATAAAGAATTCTTTCAACTCAACAGCTGCCCTGGCTGGTGCGGCTCAGCTGGTTGCAGTGTTGTCCAGCACACCTCGGGTTCTCGGGCTGGATGCCGGGTCGGGGCGCACACCCAGGTTGCTGGCTCCATCCCAGGTTGGGGTGCATATGGCAGGCAACCGACCAATGTTTCTCTCTCTCCCCCTCTCTCTCCACGGCTGACGGGAAGGTGAGGTTGAGCAGTTGCTGTGGAGAGCAGGCGATTCCTCAAAAGTAAACACAGAGTGACCCGGCAAGTGTACCCACAGACAGACACCCCAAAGCTTTGAAAACAAGTATTCAGGCAAAACCGTGTACATCCAGGTTCATAGCAGCAGGATTCGCAATTCCCACAAGGTGGAAACAGCCCAGATGTTCATCAACAGGTGAATGGATGAACAACGTGTGACGGACATCCGTGCAATGGAATATTACTCAGCCGTGAAGAGGAGTGGGGTACTGATACACGCTACCTGATACCTGGGTGAACCCCCAGAACGTGCTGCGTGAGAGAGTCCAGACACTAAAGGCCACATACTGTGTGGTCCCTCTCATAGGGACTGTCCAGACAGGCACATCCACAGAGACAGGAAGCAGGTTGGTGGCTGCCGGGGCGGCGGGAACGGGGAGGCCTTTCCACTCAGGGTGATGGGAAGGTTCTGGAACCACTAGAGGTGATAGACGGGCACACTGTGCGTGTGCCGAACGCCCCTGAACGGTGCACTTTAAAATGGTTAATTTTATGTGAACTTTAGCTCAATAAAAAATATGATTTGTCTTGATTACTGAGAAATGAGAGAAAAAATCAGAGGGGATTATAAGAAAACAAATAAAAAATAGAACCTAAATCTAATCATTTCAATAATTACATTAAATGTGGATGGTTTAAGTATTTTAATTAAAAGGCAGAGATAGACTGAGCAGATTAAAAAAAAAAAACCCACCTTTTAAATATTGCCTACCAACAAAGCACTTTAAATATGAAGACATAAGTTGCAAGTAAATTAATGAAAAAATATGTGTCATATAGACAGTAAGCATAAGAGGGCTGGTGTGGCTATTTTATTTTATGTCACCTTCCCCCCTTCCCCAGTTTTACTCAGGCATAACTGACATACAATGTGACTACTTTATTATCCGGTAAAATAGACTTCAAAATAAAGATTATTACCAGAGATAGAAACATTTCATCATGGTAAAAGGGGCAGTTTGTCAGGAAGGTGTAACCATAAATGTGCATGCCTTCAAGAAAGAGAACCCCCAAATACACGAAGCCAAAATGGACAGAATTTTAAAATGAGATCGGTAATTCCACGGGCATAGCAGGCGAGGTCGACACCCTCTCTCAGCACCTGATAGAGCATCTAGACAAAAATTCAAAAAGGCCCAGAAAACGAAACTCACTGCAAACACCTGGATCTGACTGGCGTTTATGGGACACTCCCCCAGCAACAGCAGAACACAGGTGTGTTGTGTTTGTGTGTGTGTGTGTTTTAATGGATCTTTATTGATTTCAGAGGGGAAGGGAGAGGGAGAGAGAGAGAAACAACAGCGATGAGAGTCATGGACCGGCGGCCCCCTGCCCGCCCCCCGCCTGGGGATCGAGCCCGCACCCCGGCCTGCGCCCTGACCGGGAATCCATCGGCGATCGCCTGGATCCTAGGTGGGTGCTCAGCCGCTGGGCCACGCCGGCCGGGCTAGAACACACGTTTTTAAGTGCATGTGGATAGATTGCGTCCTGGGCTTTCCAACAAGTCTCCTTGGATTTAAAGGGGCAAAAGTCATACGGAAACATATTCTCCGGCCACAAGAGAATTCAGTCAGGAATCAATAACCGTGCGGGTTTCACAGGAAACTCCCAGCGGCTGGAAATTAAACGGCAGGCTGTTCAACTCACGGGTGGAAACCAAGACGGGGAATTAAACATGCGTTCAATCCAAGGGCGAGATACAACCAAGACGCAGGAGCCCCGAGCAGCGTTTGGCAGAAACTCCCCGCGTTAACCGCTTCTATCGGAAAAGGGGGGCGCTCCGGAGTCAGCGGCCCAGGGGTGCCCACTGAGGGAGCAGAGAAAGAAATTGGAGAAACCCGGAGCCAGGCCTCCCGGGCGCAGGGAGCGCAAAGCCCTGCTCTCCGCGTCGTCCTGTGTTTGGGGGCAGTGGGGTCCTGCTAAGGGGCCTCCTTGGCGTCGGGACACCGGGTTAACCCACGAGCAGGCCCCATCCCCGGCCTGACAGGTGTGGGAAGGGGCCGGGGCGCGCTCGCTGCTCCAGGGACCCCAGCAGGCCCCACCCCGTGACCCCGCAAGCCCGCGCCCCCG